CAGCCAACACCACAGTATCCGTGCTACTTCTGTAACGAACGAGCTCGTGAAGTTGTTGATAGAAATCATCTACCGAATCGGTGCTACAGTTTGTAGGGGCGTAAGCCGCAATGACAAACAGACACCGTTTGTCCCCGCGCGACTTCGTAGCACGGAAGGAACCAGCTAATCTAACGGCACACATCCTACTGTTTACTGGGATCCAATCAATCAGGGCAGCTTCAGCCCGGGGACTCAAAACAATGCCGACGCCAGCTTGACCGGCATTTGAAGCTGCATCATCGCCAGACAGGCGCAATGAGAATGTGCCGCCAGTGTCGCATGTGGGGGATCTCAGGGTAAGTACGGAGCTCGAATCTTGCAGGCGGGTTTCTGATAAACAGCAAATATCGATCCATAGGGTCTCTAGTGTGCGGGCAAGTGCTGCCTGTTGGCCAATCTGCAGCAAAGTGCGCACGTTGAAGCATGCCAGTCTTAGCGAGACACGAGGACTCCAAAGGGAAACGGATGAACTGACGTTGTCCGCTTGCTTGAACATGGACTTGTCAACTGGATTGGAGCGAGGCCCTGGGATTGTGTGTGATTTGAAATTAGAAGACAAGCGACTACTGAAGAAAGCTGGGGGAGGGCCAAGAATTGGGGGATTGAAAATGGGGGGATATAAGTAAAGTTGGAGCGGGACGATAAGGATGAAGAAGCGCAAGAAGGGGTATAAGAAGACGGGAAGGCCTGAGCAGTAGCATCCATACCCCTATCCACCCTGCTCGATGCAGCAGATAGGGCGCCGTTGATTATCCTCTGCGACGGCCAGAGCATCAAGAAATTGTTGTAGGAAAGTTTCATTGTATTGCGTGGGCAGAATACTGTCAGGTTGCCCAGGCCTAGACAGGAGAACGATTAGGGTTCTCAACCAAAGCCTTTGGTTCAAAAACCTTACCGCAAGGCAGCGGGTTTTGGCACTGGACTGAGGAGCCCGTTGTATGAAATGAGGAGCCACCCCATTCCAACCCCCAATCTGGAGGACCAGGAGGCTGAGTTTGTCTGGCCTCTAACCATTGACCAATCTGGTATGAGTGGCTCTGAAGGTGCAAAAGCACCACCCAGCATAGCTCAATGGATCTCTGAGGCACGCAAACCATCGCACCAGCCTCATTGCGATGGCACAGCGTTGGTCGTAGCTTGTTTGCAAGCCGTGTCCAGACCTGTGTGCCCACGAGCACGTCACACATGACATTTCCGCGCTTGTTTTTGATCGTACCTGGCGTCCACTTCACGAGGCTTTCCCGATTGTCATATACTAGCACTGCCTGTCCAGGTGTGGACGATCGATTAATTGCTCCATGCTGTCGATTAAAATCATGTTCCATTCTGTGGCTCCTTCCACTAACAGAGGGCTCTGAGCGCGGTCCGATGGCATCGACGGGCGTACAGAGCTCCCTGTTCATCACAGGCTGTGTGGAGAACCTTCCTCCAGCGCTTGTGGTATCGGTGTTGATCGGTAGAGGAAAAGGAACCGGTCAATCACCTCCTCTATACGTCCACCCTGTTTGATTTACGGAGAGCTCGCTTGAACATATTGCCAAAACCTTCCGCCTGGCCACTCAACTATCGCTGAAACGGCAGTGAGCAAATGTGCTGGACGGCGCACTGTTTGCAGAACTCCGTAAAAGTTGCCGAAGTGAATTGCGTGCCGTTGTCAGTTACAATTGTCTCTGGACGGCCTAATCTGCTGAAGATTTGGCGCAGTCTGAATACAGTAGCATTGGTGGTTGTGCTATCCATGAGAAACACCTCAGGCCATTTGTTATATGAATCGATTATGAGTAAGAGGCTTCGGCCGATGATCGGTCCTGCGAAATCAACATGGACACGACACCATGATTTTGTAGCTTTTGCTTTTCAATAGAGCGCTGTTTTTTTAATATTGGGGCACTTTTAGCAGCGTTTAGCCAATTATTCCAGCTGTTTTTCCATGTAGGGCCAGTATACATAGCTGCGGGTAAGCGCCTTCATCCGGTTAATCCCAAGATGCCCTGCATGGAACTGCCGAATAACGCGCTCCTGAAAGACCTCATAATGATTTCTCTTTCCGAAAATAGTATACAGTCATTCACAAGTGAGAGCGATTGTCTCCTCTGGTAGTGCTGTTGCAACTCGACAAATGAACATGAACGTGGTCAAATCGTTCTGTGAAACTGTGTGACTTTCTTGAGTACTGGGTCCCGAAGTGCTTCGGTTTGTACAGCTTCTGCGATAACTGGTAGATCGTGCAATGAGACACTCACCAGATAGCTGACGTCAGGTTCGATCTCAACCGAGACAATGACTGTGTCCTCGTGTTATTGCTGAAAGGCATCAATTAGGTGTGACAGTGCATCTGCTTGGCCAATGGAAATTGTCGATTGGTAGTGGATCTCGAAATCATACCTCATTAAGGCAAGAGCACACCGTTGTAGCCGGTTGGCTGTGTATGGCGGGATGCCCTTTCTCGGACCAAAGATACCCAGCAAGGACTTGTCATCTGTCATAAGCCTGAAGCGGCGGTTATACAGCAACTTGTGGAATTTCTTGACTGCGAACACTATGGCCAAAGCTTCTTTCTCGATTTGGCTGTAATTTCTTCCGGCCTTCGTAAGTGTCTTGGCGGCATGGGCGATTGCTTCCTGAGAGCCATCGGAGTACGTGTGAAATTACTGCACCGATTCCATGGCTTGGTGCATCTAAGGCTAGGACAATCTCTGTGGAGGGATCAAAATGAGTCAAAAGTAAGTTCGAGCAGAGCAATGTCTTGACCCGTTCGAAGGCATTCTGACGTCCAGCTCCATGTTCGGCCTTTGGCTAGTAGCTTGGTTAGCGGGGCACGCAGGCGGTGCATTTCAGGCAAGAATGTTGATGAGTCCACAAAAGGAACATAAATACTGTACGTCTGTTGGTGGGGACATTTTCCTCATGGCTTCCATGTTTGCCGGATCTGGTCGACGTCAATCCCTTTCAATGATAAAATCAAGATACTTAATGATCGGCGTGAAAAATTTGCATTTGCCATTCCGAATCTGGAAACCGCACGACTGGATACAACCGACCACTTCGTCCAGTCGGTTAAATAGCTCTTCCGGTGTTGAAAGCATCACAATGATATCATCCAGATATGCAGCGGCTCCAGACACTCCCGCGAGCAACGTATCCATCAACCGTTGGAAAATGGCTGGCGCTGCTTTTACACCAAAGGGCAAGCGGCTGTATTGGAATAGGTCACGATGAGTGTTGATCGTCAGTAACGCTTTCGAGTCTCTGATAACTTCCAGCTAGAGATAAGCATCAGACACATCTATCTTGCCAAAGCACTAACCACCATTCCGTTTTGCAAAGACATCTTCCTGAGGAATCACAACTATCTCCATGAACCACATAGAACCGCTTATACTGGAGTGCCTGAACCAGTCGAGCCAAGTCAAGAATGTGCTTTATGCACCCATGAAGGGTAAATATTCAGCTCTAACACACACGCCACGGACAGGAGTAAATAATGAAATATAATAACATGAGGATAGATACAGAACCACAGTGGGCGAAGTAATTTACTAACCAGTTCTTGAATGATTGGATTTTTATCTTTCAAAAATCGTGACAGGCAATGAACTGCTGATGTAAAATAGGCGCTTGTGCGAGTGTATAAAGTTTTGTAGCTCTGTTCGGTCTAGGAGGTTGACGTGCATTCAGACAGTGCTTTGTGGAGAAGATGGCCGACATTAGTATTTTAGATGCAACTTTGTTACAAGGATTAAAATGGATGGATGCAATTATGTTAATAAATCCCGGCCTTGAAATGCTACTAAACAGGGATAGATGGTCCATTGGTCTGGCAGTTACTTTGAGGTCCTTAGGATACCAGGAAATATCATGTGAGAGCAATACGTTCAGTAGGGTAACACATATATAGTGATAAAACGGAAGAACTGAGATGTGTAACATAGACCACGCATCTGGTGTTTGCTCGCTCGTAGTTTTTTCGATGCAGCCGATTTAACCGCATACAGCTACATCGAGCAATGGACTCAGGAGTGTGTCAGTTGTCGCTAGCAATGGAGCCCATAGGCCATACCACATCGGCATGTCGCTATTCGAATGGACGGATGAGCTGAAAGTAAACTAACGCCTTGTTTATGTCTAGCAAGCATTTCGTCTAATGCCAAGTTTCATGTGGGCGATCGGTTAGTGGCATATACTTGTCTATTCGTGCTAGCATCTGCATTTATAGTTCGTTAGTGAAGTCGAGTGAGTACAACTAAGCGCAGATCAGCGTGACGATTGAGTGTGGGCCGATTGCGAAACAATAGTGGATCCAATTCGCGTGAATTGCAACCAGCTCAATCATGAGATCATGTTCACTCGATGGGAGATGTTCTGTGTTTTGACCGCTTTAGTAATAAATCTCACCAGTTATCTCAACTGTAGTCGAATTTTCTAACTTGCATTGTGGCGGGATTGTTCCTATCGATGTTGAAGTCTCTGAACAAGTGAGGGCATCAGTAGTACGCCGGTACGCAGTGCTGACACTTCGCTGCCGCGCGACACTCACCAGTCGTTGTTGGGCTAGGAATATTAGGAGGATCACCCGATCCATTTGCAGCCTCGAACCCAAGTCCTCGGATTACAAAGCAGGCATGTGATCTTTAAAGCTACGGGCCGGCCTCGATTAACTCGTGGTTATGACACAGAGAGAACGACGTGGTGCTCAACTATGGCCGGAACCGAACCACTACAACAATGAGTCTTACTGCTATGACAAGATAAGATCCAATGGTTAACGTCATCAGCTTGGTTTCTGAGTATTTGTCTGACTTGTTCAACTATGTGAAATAATGAGAAGAAAAGGGAAGTGTCCTCGTTTGGCGCGAGCAAATTGGGAAATGCAAACATGACCAATCAGCCACGTGCAAACCACAGGACGGAGTTCATCGACAGCCAAATCCCCTCACAGATCATATAATCAAAGGAGTCCCATTAATTCCGTGAATGTTTTCAAACTCAGTGGTGTGCCCATACTGAGGCGTATCAACAGAAAGGGAATGTAATTTTCGCCGCAATACGGTTGGTACAAGCATCGGCATGATGACGCTTAAGAGTTTCCGCCACCAGCGTCATAAGTACAACCGCAAAAGTGTTACAAAATAGGTCAAAAACGATTAAGATGGGATGGATAAATGCTGCAACGAGCAGTTAATTTTGTGCTGTTCGCCTGGGTGCACCGATCTGCGAGTGCGCCACTTCAAGCAAGTTGGGCTCGGGAACAAGAAACGCACTCTTGGTTTCGGCATCCACAACTTCGCCGACGATCCAAGCAGGACAATTCTCCAGCTGTGTGAGCTCTTCACAAAACGCCTCGGCCGACTCAGGTGAAAGGATGATAAGGAGGCCACCTGGATGAATGGAAACCGTTAGATGAAAAAGCAGGGCCTCACAGAAGCATAAACTAATCAACCGATGATGATGATGATGATGATGATGATAAAATGGGTGGGTTGACTAATGAGATTCGACTACCTTGATGGTCAACCAGTTAATCGGTCGCAATGAACACACTTTTGACACTCACTTCAAACGAATACCCAAGAACTGAGGAGCTCGGTTAGAAATGTTGCCCATCTAGTTTGACGCTTTAAATGTAGAGAGGGAACAATAAGCACCACGAACGGATGGGCCGATGAGTTCGATGTCAGAGCGCAGTTATGGGGCTATTGAGGATAACAGCCGTTGTTATGATTGACAGAAAGGAGAAAAATGTAGAAAACGCTAAAACTTTTGGTTGCAGCTCTAAAAAAAACACGAAAACAGTGAGGTTGTCCCGACTTATTTTATAATTGATAGAATGTGAAGATGGTGAGCTGCACATCAACAGCCCTTATGTAAAACTGGGAGCCCCGAAGTTGACTTGATCATGTAAAAAGTATGAAATATAAGACATGGAAAGGAGAGGCAAGAAAAGGAAAACAGTGAGTGCGGCTTTGCTGAGTAACAATATGGAGCAAAATAGGTATAGTGAAATAAAGTCGAACCAGCCAGCTGGTTTCCGCTTCAAGCAAAATATAATTTGAAGCTAGTGTAGTCGAGTAGAAAGCGAACGGATTACGAAATAGTTACTTGTCCTTGCCTAGTCTTGTACTTTCAACTTCTGTGGGGAGATGGAAGCCGCAGCTGGCACGGTATGTCCAACCCTCACTGGTTATCGCTCCATGGGCTTGGACTGTGCCGCCTTCATCACTTGGTTGAGCACTGAAAAGCCACATGAGCTGATGCATTTAGTAATCTCTTCCAGGATACTACCAGCAGTGGTGGTGCCGTAACCCAGGCGCCAACTGGATGTGACCTAGCGAGAGGCACCAACACAAGTTAAGTTTAACGGCCGGTTGCCCAAATGCAGAAGAATTGGAAAGCAGAACAGTCATTCATGTTTAGTCAAAACAGAAAGCTGAAGGGAGACGGAACAGCAGGACAGTGATGACAAGCACTACTAGAAGTGCAAAAATCCCGAGTTGGACAACATTAGGGATCGGGGTAGAGTAACGCTCGAAGTAAAAACATTTTCTCCGGCAGAAACTCCGAGGACGGTTGAGGTCAACCGAAAAAGGTAACATATAAATCAAAGAAGATCACAATGGAAGACAGTTTGCGAGAATGCACGTCCAGCACATGCATCAGTGGAAAAACCAGCACGCTTTTAAAGAGTCGCCGAAAGGAGACTGCACCTTTAACGTGATGCGACGATTTGTGCACCTCTTCAACCCACTGAACTATACCCAATAGGCTAAGGGTTAATAGTTAGGAGTCAGACAAACCCAGTCCATTTGGTCCTCAGGTTATGGGTTGGAAATGGGATAATGTCAATATCTGTGAACGGGTTCGTTGCTGTTCCCCCGCTAGCTTTCAGACAGGCATTTCAGTCAAAAACTTAAGTTAAGGACCAAAATCGCTCTCCCGCCTAGGTCTGGGCGCCCTGGAAATATCTCAGCCCATGTACCATCCCGACTACTTCAAACTTTAATTATATCCTGCATCGTTTGTCGCGCAACTTTAAAGATCATTTATCTGACGCATACAGTAGGGCACATAAACGAAGACAAATATTTTGGCGCCTCCTTCCTTTCTTTTCCACCTGTTTACCTTAATCCCATCCCGACCTCCATTACTAACCTTTCTTCTATAATTCCCAGTTTCGTTGACAACAGCCGTAATACCGCTGTTTTGCCGTCTGCGTAAATGTTCCCGCACCATCCACTTGATTCCTGTCGATAATATCCCATCAGAACGTCATGCTAAACCATTTTCCTGGTTGCGTTCAACGTTCGTACTCTAAGACAAATAGATTAACATGCAAATTGTCGACGTGTACTGCTTGTCCGAAACTGGGATCAATGACATTCACGGGTTGTTGAAGTAACTGCATCCGACTTGTTCTCTCGATATTGGTAGCACTGATCCGGAGACCATGGTGTGGCAATCAATGTTTGGTGGACTAGAGGCAGACACTACTTCATCAGATATCAGTAGTATAAATGTGCCCGAAAGCCAAACAACGAGCCAACGGCAAGCCATGATAACTCCGAAAGAAAGGGAACACTTAGGAACCGCAGACGTATGCGCGAGAAGAGTGGACATCTAAGCAATGCACGCCGCATAACCACCAGATACAGAAGCAACGCGCACCATGCAACCACCAACACAGAGTGCGTAGAAAGTGGAAGTTTCGTTGGTCAGAACCGATGTATCTGGGTCATTCTGTTTAAAACAATAAATAACTCCGTCCTCTCCTTGGGTCATTACATAGATGCCGAGACCAACCAATATAGGTCATGAAGATGTGAGGGCCTTCTTGGAGGACTTCAACGATGTGGCGGAGGCGGTTGGAATTAAGACTGACTGGACTAAGCTGGTGGCTGTGTTCAGTCTCCTCAAAGGCAGGGCGAAGACAATCCTGGAGACGGCGCGAAGGAGCCACGTCAAGTTGGAGTGGACTGCTGCCAAGGATGAGTTGGTTCACGGATTGGACAACTCGGCCGATCGCCAAGTGGCGATGCTGCGGTTCGAGGCGACACGGCTTGGTGCAGGGGCGGATCCCCTCATATTTGTGGTTCACATCAGGATTGTGCCTTGCTGGGAATGGACGAAGAGTCAAAACGGTAATTAATGGTAAATTAGTTCATGATCGGTCTCCCACAGCCAATCGCGCAACGCGTCCGGATTGCAAACGCTATCCGGGGAATTCGGCAGGAGGAGTTGGCGCAGGTGACTCGGGAGCTGGGCGGTGCACCACTCGCTGCGCAAGAGGGGGAATACCATGGAGGATTTGAGCGGTTGGATAAATTAGAACGGATGATGGAACAACTCGGGCAAGGCGTCAATGGGCTTCGCGTTCAGCACTCGGAGGAGCGAACAAGGGGATGTTACTTCTTTTGCGGAAAACCGGGACACGAAAAGACAATGTTCGGTGAGCCGTGCTGTTGTCTGTGTATTAAGTAAACGCATTCAATCTTGTTTTTCTTCTCGGGTCGAAGAATGTGTACTCGGCGCGCTGAATAGAGCAGCGATCGAAGCGATGATGGAAGTAGACGGAACGGTGGACCAATGCCTGATCGATACGCGTGCAACAGTGTCGCTGATCAGACTCGGGTGGGGGGGGGCTAAAAGCTTCAATAGTGCTCCATGATCGTGAGAGCTGTTGGCAGTCACTCAATGTGCACTGATAGTATGGCAGAACACATTGTGAAAAATGGCGGACGGAAAGTATCAAACGTTTTCATCGTGTTACCAGATGCGAGGCAATCTATATGTGGAGCAGGTTTCCTGCAGTTCGACAACGCTATCGTCGATTTAAAACGAGGAGAGTTGTTGACTGAACACGAGTTGTTGGCACTCATTGGCCGTTGAGGAACGATACCGTTGTACTCGGTTGTTGCCGCGTTACACTTGAGTCCGGCCTTGCAGTCACTGATCACTAAGTAGCACAGTTTGTTTACGAATGATGGCAGCCCGTATAAATTTTACGACTGGTTCGAGCACACCATCCCGCCAGACGTATCCATCCCCGGGACCTCGAAGAATACCAATCCATTCAGAGGTTGAAGTAAAGAGGCAAATACCGATACTGGATGTGGATGTGACTGAAGAGGCGCACAGCGTATACAATTCTTCAGTTGTCTTGGTGAGGTAGGCTAATAGGAAGTACCGTTGCTGTGTGGATTTCAGAAGACTGAATGAAACCTCCACGAGTCGTTTAGTTTCAGTGCCATCAGTTGCTGACATCTTTGATAGATTGCAACAGCCGAGGATATTCAAGGTTTCGGATCTGAGATCGGGATACTGGCAACAAGAAAGCAAAATAGACCGAGAAAAAACGGCGTTTATCGTCGATGAGAAACAATACCAAGTTAAAAGAATGCCCTTTGGATTATCGGAAGCCCCGTTTATCTTCCGACCCTTAATGCTGTGCTTACTAAGTGACTTGGAAAAGCTGGCGGTGGGCGGGGATGATATCGTGGTGTATGGCCGGTCAGAAGCAGAGCACAGTGGCCATCTCGAAGCAGTCTTGGAACGGATTCAGCAGTCGGGACTCTGTAGAAACGGAGAGAAATCCTCGAATGGAAAGAGTTCTGTAATATTCCCGAGTCATAAGGTTGGGCCAAGTTAACTGAAACCACTGCGTGAGAAAATACTGACACTACGAGGCACTCCAGTCCCAACCTCCAAGCGCACTCGTAGCGTTCCTGGGCCGTGCTAGGATCTACAACAAATTCGCAAAGGAATTCACTAAATTGGCCTCACCTTTGTACGAGCTACTGAAACGGGACAAAAATCACGTGGATTGCAGAAGCCCAACAAGCCTTTTACCGCAATCTACGAGAAATGGGAAGCCAGGTGCTGACCCTGAAGTTGCCCATTACTGGAGCGATGTTCACGGTGGCGACTGACGCCAGCGGCGCAAGAGTTGGCGAGGTTTTGAAACAAAGACACGGAACGATTGAGTATGCCAGCAGCATTTTGACACCGGTAGAACGCAAATACTCAACCGTAGAAGAATGTTTCGTAATCGTCTAGGCGTTGGACAAATGGCGGCCGTATCTGCCAGATCAGAGATTTCACGTCGAAACAGACCACAAGCCTTTGGAATGGATTAAGTCTGCCAAAGACCCCAGTGGAAAGCTAGCGCGGTGGGTGCTATGCATACAGTAAAACGATTTCACAACAAACCACGTGCCGCGGAAGGAGATCCAAACTGCGGATTTTTTGTCACGCATGATGGACGAAGATGACCTGTTGAGTGTGGTTTTCGGTATACTGTTGAAGCAGAATCTGGGACAGTTGACGACCGAACAAAGTAGTGACAAACTCTTGCGCAAAGAGATCACTGCAACAATAACTGGCC